ATATATTTATAAATGTACAAAATCATATGTATTTGCCATATTAGGTAGCCTACTATGTTTGGTATGCAATCTAAAGCAATGACGCAAATCATAAAAAAAAGCTTCTTTACTGTGATCTCCTGTCAAGGCAAGATCTGAAACGGTAGAGATTAAGCCAAAGGAAGGTTGTATTACTCTTATTTTTATCGACGATCTTACTTTCTCTGAGTTTTCACTCCCCAGAGCATCTGACATCATGTCACACATAGGACATGCATTAGGGTTTCCCCTACCGTAATACACCTCAAACACAAATTGCCGAAAAATTCGTCAATGACAGGGAAGCGTTTACCCTTGTTAAATGCAGGGAAAATGTTAAGCGAAAAAAATTATCGATTTCAACATCATACCAGCCATACAATGTACGTAAAGCACAAATAATGTCTTCCTTGAACCAATCTCATCTCCACCTGTCTGTTCTATTGCTCCGTTTGCTTCAACTTTCTTTTGCAGTCTGATGCGCGTCAAAAACCCAATTAGCACCATAGGATGACTATATCTGTCACAACCAGCGATCACTCCCCAGAGGATCGCTGGTTCTCACACGAACTCAGGACTTCATTTCCGCATTCCCCAGGACTACACATTCATACATGCACTGCTCCCAAACACGCACGCCTGCTCACTCATGTATCCTGATTGCAAGCACCAGCTGAGCCTTGTTCACAGACTGATTACATCCCATTCATAAGCCACTCTCTCACGCTACCAGTTGGCCGAGTCTTGTTTCCCTGTATTCATTACAACGCGTTTCCCTGTCTTGTTTCTCCGTGTATCGATCCTAGCCTAGTACCTTGTCTTCCTGTTTAGCTGCCTGCCTTTTGACCATTTGCCTGTTTAAACGTTTACGATTCTGGACTGCCTTCATATACCTGTTTGCACCTGATGACCATTGCTTGCCTGACTATTGAATAAACTGCAAAGTGCATCTTACCTCCTGTGGTCTCCTGTCACTCCACCCCAGTCCTGGTAACAATATCTCATCTTTGCTTTGACGTCACATGTAAATCACATGCGCTTTATCTGCGTCTGCTTACTGCACAAGCTGAAAACTCTCTTGCCCCGCATTCCAGCAAATGTTTGGATTGTGAGGGTGCAGGTGAAATGTCATTTTTCGAGAGACACTAAAATACATCATGTGCGCTGTGGATGCAGCATCTATAAGTCACTTAAAACAGTTCATTACAAACTGAAATTAATATAGTTTGATTATATGATTTAGAATTGGATGTTTTATGAGATTATTAAAAATTTTTGTGATTATTTTGCGTTTAATTAAGGATTTTGCAGGATCACAAAGGTTTGTGACTTTTTGCTGATTTTTAGGTTGGATTTAGCGATTACAGAATCATGAAAAACTAGGGGGTCTGTTTTTTACTCCCCATAATGCTATATGTGAATTTGAGAGTAACTTCCAATAAATTGTAAACTGTGAATTGTTTAAAAAACTGGGTGCTATAAAGTGCCATCATTCTCCTTACATGTTTACTCATTAAATAATAAAAGTAGAGATTTACCAAATAGGTTTTAAATAATTTCAGTACCGGAACTGAAAAATCTGGATGCACTGGGACAAAAACTGAAATAAAAATACTTTAAATAATTATGTATTGTTTTATTAAACAACATTATTTTGTATGACACTATTGCCCCATAGCCAGAAGGTCACTGGTTCAAGTCCCGTCTGGGTCAGTAGGCATTTCTGTGTGAAGTTTACATGTTCTCCCAGTATTCGCATGGGTTTCCTCTGGGTGCTCCGGTTTCCCGTACAGTCCATGCGGTATAGGCGAATTGTGGTATAGGTGAATTGAATAATGACTTTAGTCTATGTGTGTGATTGAAAGAGTGTATGTTTCCCAGTGTTGGGTTGCAGCTGGAAGGGCATCCACTGCATAGACAGGGTGTCTGCGGCTCTTAAAAACTACAAAAAAAGTTGATAAATCAATTTAAAGAAATTTAAGGCCCGTTAAAAGTATTACAAAGTCTTAAAGCTATTTTACAAGGTATTCAATTTTGTTGCAGTATGGTAAAGCTTGCCTGAATTTAATCTTTGAATATTGGGATGAATTGGGATGTATTTTATGAAATCAAATAAATCTTGCCAGATTTGACATCAACCTCCTTTGTTTACAGTAACCAGGGAAACACTGTTATTCTACTGTTGTTAAAGGCGCCACCTGCTGGATTAACATTTTTATTCAGTATATAAATACAGCTTTAGTTCTGTACAGGATTCGATTCTTGCAATCAGTATTTAGTAAAGATACTGCAAGTTCAAATGTCGGCAATGTTAATGGTTGAAACCTGAAATGGTGATGAGGTTTTAAAAATGTATGCAAAGAGTCTCTGATTTCTGTATATACCCTGGTAGAACATATGCTGGATAAGCTGGCGGTTCATTCCGCTGTGGTTACCCCTGATTAATAAACGGGCTAAGCTGAAAAGAAAATGAATGAACGAACGAATGAATAAATGAATGAATGAATTTTAAATTAACTCTATAACCTTTTGATTAATATACAGTGGGTGATAGTTCAATATGAGCATTACCGCCACATGTGATGCCGTGGCAGGATTAAGGGATTAAGAAAAGGTTTTTAGGTGTAACAGCCTTTTGCGACTATGATGGCAGGGGGCACAAAGGGACGGGATGTGAATAAACAGAAATAAACAGTAGCTGTAAATACCCTGCTACTTGTAAATGAAGACAAAATAACAAAACAGAGTATTATAATTCCTTCATTAATCAATAATAACTTAACAAGTTTTATTGTCGTTGTAAACTTAAGTGCAACGAGTAATCGTAAATGAAAGTGAATTAATAAATAAATAAATAAATAAAGCAGTGTTTTCGCCTAAATATAGAGAGATGTACAGTGTTTGTTATTTTAAAGGACTAAGTGGGTCAATAAATAAGTTTTTTCATTTACGTTTTGATTTATCGTTTTCATTTACATGTTTTGTTGATTATTTTTGACTTTTTCATTGTATGTCTTAATTATCCGGCAGCTAGCTCTCTGCAACTCTCACATGGTCGCCCACTGAAGCTAAGCAGGGCTGCGCCCGGTCAGTACCTGGATGGGAGACCACTTGGGAAAGCTAGGTTGCTGCCGGAAGTGGTGTTAGTGAGGCCAGCAGGGGGCGCCCAACCTGCGGTCTGTGTGGGCCCTAATGCCCCAGTATAGTGACGGGGACTCTATACTGCTCAATGAGCGCCGTCTTTCGGATGAGACGTTAAACCGAGGTCCCGACTGTCTGTGGTCGTTAAAAATCCTAGGATGTCCTTCGAAAAAGAGTAGGGGTTTAACCCCAGCATCCTGGCCAAATCTGCCCACTGGCCTCTGTCCATCAGGGCCTCCTAACCCTCCCCATATCATGATTGGAATATCATCACTCTGTCTCCTCTCCACCAATTAGCTGGTGTGTGGTGTGCGGTCTGGCGCAAAATGGCTGCCGTCGCGTCATCCAGGTGGATGCTGCACACTGGTGGTGGATGAGGAGATTCCCCCCCATTGTGTAAAGCGCTTTGAGTGCCCAGAAAAGCGCTATATAAATGTAACGAATTATTATTATTATTATTATTTTTATTATTATTAATTATTTTCCATAAACATGAATCAATAAATAAATAGGTCGAAATAATTATTTATATAAAGATATTACTAGCGAAAATGGAGAAATCATTCTGCGCATGGTCTAAAGGGCTCTTAAGTTGAATGCCATTTTATCAAAAGCATAAAAATAAATAGACATACCTGAAGCAGATCACTTAAATTAAAATATAAATAACTCATACAGTCATGAAGTCAGAATTAGCCCCCCTTTACATTTTTTTTCTTTTTTAAATATTTCCCAATTGATGTTTATCAGAGCAAGGAAATTTTCACAGAATGTCTGATAATATTTTTTCTTCTGGAGAAAGTCTTATTTGTTTTATTTCGGCTAGAATAAAAGCCATCAATGCAGCAAGCAGCAGGAACAAGTATAGAAATTGTTTTATAGAAATGTCAGTGCATTACTTAAGCCGACTTTGCTTTTAAGGTGAGCATGTGCAGTTCATGCACAGATAAGTGTACAGGTTCATGAACAGAATATCCACTAACGGAATACTGAGCTATTTTGAACTTTGACCCCGGCACGCAGTCTCCAATGCTTTTGTGCTTTGGTCGATGCAGCAACAAATTGATAATTTTGCAGCCGAAAATTCAGAGAATCACAAATTTTTAAGGCATCTTACTAGAATTAACATTTATTTCAGCTGACCTTAAAAACTTGAAACTCTTTGTGTATAGCAATATGATGGATGTGTTGATTTTTACAGTACTCTATGGAAGAAAATAGAAAATTATCCAAAAGAACAACGCATAGTGAACTCTAAAAAAAAACTTTGACCACAGATATGCTTATCTTTCTAATTTAAAAAAAAAACTAAGCATAAAGCTATTTTTAGTGGGAGATTAAAATAAAGCACAAAGCCAAACATACCTCTTTCATTTTTCACTTTGCATATGGATTATTTGAAGAACAACATTATTATTCCAAAGGATCTATTTTAGTTTTTTTAAATGGAATTTTCCTAAACTAGAAGTGGAACTCATAATTTGTGCCCCCATCATTTTTCAAAAGCAAAAAAGGTAGATGCTATGGATATCAAATAAAAGTGCAAAAAGGCTATGTTTCAGTGTGAGCAATGTAATTTGGCACATTAGCGCTTTTAATGATCGTCCATATGCAGCTCAGTCTTTTAGATTGGAATTGGATAATGCATCATTTTAATGTCAAGGTCGTAAAAGAAATCAGCTATTGATTTAGCATGTTTCATCTTTTTCATACATGGCATTCCGGTCAATAATGAGCTACAGACTTAATGCGCTGAAAAATAGAGATCAATATGTAGATAAAACAAAATGTCAGTGTATGTATTCTGGTAGTTTATTTTTCTTTTGTTCTTGTCTTCAAAGACCTGCCTCCTCCTGCCACCAGAGAGAGACCGCCGGGCTGTAAGACGGTGTTTGTGGGAGGTTTGCCAGAAAACGCCACAGAGCAGCTCATCGTAGAAGTGTTTGAACAGTGCGGAGGTATCATCGCCATCCGGAAGAGCAAGAAGAACTTCTGTCACATCCGTTTTGCAGAGGAGCACACAGTTGATAAGGCCCTCTTCCTGTCAGGTACACATTCCAGTGTATTATCTTATGCCTCTCACAGTTGCTCGATGTAAAACATCTACATACTGTTCTGTAAATATTTAAAAAACAGCATAAAACATAAATGCAAATCATATTCATTCTTATTTCAATATTAATAAATCATTTTGTTAAAGGCCATTTTAATTCCATTATTTTTAGATGACGTTTTCCTCTGCATGTCATTAAAACATTCAAATAGTTTATTTTGAATTAATTATAGCTGTTTTGTAAAATATGTGCTTTCATTTTAGCACCTAAAAATTTTGTCATAAGAATACTTAAAGCTTACGCATCACTTACATACCACACATTTATGTTTACCTTGCAATTCTATAAATTAATTAATACAGATAATATATATTTTATAATTAAACTTTTATTATGAATACAATAGCCATTTTCCATAATTTAGTAAATGCTAAATAATGTATCAATTAATTAAAATTGATTAAAATGTTATATTTAAATTTGGAATGTAAAAGCGTGGATCCGTACAATACGTGTGTGTATGTGTGTGTGTGTGTGTGTGTGAGTATGTGAAATATTATAACAAATATACTAGTTTAAGGTATTTTCAATTAGTATACAGTACAAAAGTCTGTTCTTCTATTTTTCACTCACCAGCCACTTTATTAGGTACACCTGTCCAACTGCTTGTTAACGCAAATGTCTTATCAGCCAATCACATGGCAGCAACATGCATTTAAGCATGTAGACATGGTCAAGACGATCTGCTGCAGTTCAAACCGAGCATCAGAATGGGAAAGAAAGGGGATTTAAGTGACTTTGAACATGACATGGTTGTTGCTGCCAGACGGGCTGGTCTGAATATTGCTGATCTACTGGGACAACCGTCTCTGGAGTTTACAGAGAATGGCCTGAAAAAGAGACAATATCTTGTAAATGGCAGTTCTGTTGGCACAAATGCCTTGTTGATGCCAGAGGTCAGAGGAGAATGACCAGACTGGTTCCAGTTGATAGAAAGGCAACAGTAACTCAAATAACCACTCGTTACAACCGAGGTATGAAGAAGAGCATCTCTGAATGCACAACATGTTGAACCTTGAGGCGGATGGGCTACAGCAGCAGAAGACCACACCGGGTGCCACTCATGTCAGCTGAGAACAGGAAACTGAGGCTACAGTTCACACAGGCTCACCAAAATTGGACAATAGAAGATTGGAAAATGTTACCTGCTCTGATGATTCTTAGTTTCTGCCTTTGACATTTAGATGGTAGGGTCAGAATTTGGTATCAACAACATGAAAGCAAAGATCCATCCTGCCTTGTATCAACGGTTCAGGCTGGTGGTGGTTGTGGTGTAATGGTGTGGGGGACACTTTCTTGGCACACTTTGGTCCCATTAGTACCAATTGAGCATTGTGTCAATGCCACAGACTACCTGAGTATTGTGGTTGACGATGTCCATCCCTTTATGATCACAGTGTGCTCATTCTCTGATGGCTACTTCCAGCAGGATAATGGACCATGTCATTATGCATGAATCATCTCAGACTGGTTTCTTGAACATGACAATGAGTTCACTGTACTGAAATGGCCTCCACAGTCACCACAACTCAATCAAATCGAGTGCTTTGGGATGTGGTGGAACAGGAGATTTGCATCATGGATGTGCAGCAGACAAATCTGCAGCAACTGCGTGATGCCTTAATGTCAATATGGACCAAAATATCTGAGGGATATTCCCAGTACCTTCTTAAATCTATGCCACAAAGAATTAAGGCAGTTCTGACGGCAAAAGGGGGTCCAACCGGTACTAGTAAGGTGTACCTAATAAAGTGGCCGCTGAGTGTAGATTCCACCCCTGAAATTTTATAATATCATAAAAATGCAGGACACAGGCTATATGACTTATGGACCACACTGTGTGATGTAGAATAATAATAATTTCACTTAACCTTTCATCTCATGTAAATGAAGGCCATGTGTCCCTCCTGACTTGATAGATTGATGTTGAATTAATTAGGGGGGCGGAGCTTCCACACATCACTCAGAACACTCCAGATCTGTAGACGCAGACCATCAAGAGTCCCTGACAAAAGAGGTCAACAAGAAGACAAGTGCTGACACCAAGTAATACATTTCTGCCTTCGAACGCCGTAAATCAATCGCGAGCTATCCCAGAATGCACCTCAGCACTGCTCACGTGACCTGCCAGGAGTCTGCTCGTCTCATCCCAAGTCACATCTTAAATCAGTCTTTGTATGCAAATATTAGGATGTCCATCTCTGCCCCAGAAAGCAAATTTAAAGTGCCGAGCGCTCCAATAATACCCTTTCCATTATTCATACTTCTCTGAGTGTTGCTCTCTCAGTGGCGAGGGGCGAGATTGAAGCACTGCCCCATATATTATGTGGCCCCGTGACGGAGCTCTGCAGGCCTTTCCATAAATAATGGTGCTCATTTCTAACGTGAACACATTGCGTAAAATATTTAACAGCGTCAGGGGGCTGTAAAGATGTGATAGAGAGGCGGAAGTAAAGCGTGAAGCTCTTTCTCTCGTTTCTGTTGACACGTCCGTCTGTGAATATACATTCTCCTTAAAAACACTTTTCAGGTCTCTCTATAATGTACTTGGAGCATCATGTGATTTATAATTCACCGGAGCCTCTTTCACGTACTGCTTGGCCATTTGTCAAGAATTTTTTTTTCCGAGCAATTTTCTCTTTTATGCTGAAATATATAAACCTTAATACAAAATCGCTTCCTTTTTTCAGCCCTATCAGAAGCCAGATTATTCTCATACATCATGGCTTGTCTGTGCTGCGAGGGCTTTTGTTTCGATTTCTCAAACCGAGTGTAGCATTTGGGACCTTTTAACATTACACATGAAATAAACAAATAGGAAGGGTTTGGCCTCAAATCTGTCAGAAAACACATGTTAGGGGGAATGAATAAACAGAGTGTGTCACTGAGTTTGCGGGTTCACTTTGTCACAGGTTTCCTCATGAATCAATGTTCATAACATTCTTGTGTTTAGGACAAAAAACAATTCTGCTCTTCTCCTTTTCCTGCCCGTTCCTTTTATCTACTTAACGTCTTGAACTCTTTTGTGTTTTTGCTTTTTTATTCCCCCTCCTCTTATGTTGTCCATCCCATTTTTGCTATTTTCCTCCTTGTCAAATTTGTTTACCTCTTTTTTTTTAACTTTTTGTTTCATATTCTTGCTTGCTCCACCATCTTCCTCTTTCCTTTCTTTTCTTCTGGCCTTTTTTCTACTCCCTTCCCCCTTATTCCACTTCTTCTTTACCCTTCCTCTTCCTCCTTGCTTTTATGTTTTCTTTCTCTTTCTTTTTCTGTCTTTGGCCTTTCATATACTGCCCTTGTTTTCTTCCTCCCCTTTTATTTATTTTTATTTTTTTCAATTTCCACTTCCTCCTCTTCACATATTGCCTTTGCTTTTTTCCCCTCATACCTTTCCTTACGTTTTTCCTTTCCTGTCTTTTTGGTTTCCTTTACTCCCTATTGTATTTCCCCTCTCCTTTCTTTTCCTCTTTCCTTTTTTAATCTAATTTCCTGTTTGTGTGTGTGCGCTCTATTTCATGCTCCTTATTTGTTTCCTTTTCCACTTCCCATTTCCTTTCTTTTCCTTCCCCTTTCCTTTTCTTGCCTTTCTTCTGCTTCCTTTTTCATTTCTTGTTGTTCCTCTTCCTATTTTTTCTTACTTATTTCCTTTGCTGTTTCCCTTTGCTCTGTTTATTTTTTATTTTTTTCCAATTTCCAACTCCTCTTTCTCCTTACTTATTACTTCCTTCCTTACTTACTTACTCCTTACTTCCTCTCCTGATTCCTTTCCTTATTTTTCTCTTTCCCTGTCTTTTTGGTTTCCTTTACTCCCTGTCCCTGTCTTTTCCCCTCTCTTTTCCTTTCCTTAATTCTTTGTTTTATTTATTTATTTATTTATTTTCCTGTTTGTGTGTGCGCTATTTCACTGTGCTTATTCATTTCCACTTCCTCTTCCTTCTTTTTTTCCTGTTTTCTTTTCCACTTCCCATTTCCTTTCTCTTTCCATTTTCCCTATTCTACCTTTACTTTATTTTTTGCTCTGTCTAATTCAACTTCTGTTTCCTTTCAATTAATTTCCTTTCTGCCTTTCCTTTACTCACCTTATTTCCGGCCTCCTTTTTCTTTACTTGTTCTTCATCTCCCTCTTTATTCTTACTTATTTCCTTTGCTGTTTCCTGCTTGTTTTCTTTATTTTTTATTATTTTTCTCTGCTCTATTTATTTTCCATTTTCCCATTTCCTTTTTTCTCTTCAATTTTTCCTTGTTCTGCCTTCATTTTATTATTTTTGCCTGTCTAATTCAACTTTCTTTTTCTTTCTAATCCTCTTCTTTCTTTTCCTTTCTGTATTTTCCTGTCTTTTCTTTTCTCACCTTATTTTCGGCCTCTTTTTTCATCACTTGTTCATCTCCCTCTTTTGCCTAACTTATATCATTTGCTGTTTTCCTGCTCCTCTTCCTCATTTTTTATTATTTTTTTCTGCTATATTTATTTTCCTCTTCCCATTTTCTTTTCTTTTCCCTCCCCTTTTCATTTATTCTAAATTTATTTGATTTGCCCGATCAAATTCAACCTTCTTTTCCTTTACTTTGTTGTTGTCCTTGTCTATTTCCACTTTATTTCCCTCTACTCTTCTCCAGGTTACAGGATCAGGCTGGGATCAAGTACAGATAAGAAGGACACAGGCCGGCTGCATGTAGATTTTGCTCAGGCTAGAGATGACCTGTACGAATGGGAATGCAGACAGCGCATGCTGGCCCGGGAAGAGAGGCACCGTCGCAGAATAGAAGAGGACCGTTTACGCCCCCCCTCACCACCCCCCATTGTCCATTACTCTGAGCATGAATGTAGCCAGTTAGGAGAAAAACTCAAAGGTAAGACAAATGAAGTGCCTCATGTTTTGGTCTGTCACTCTTTTTTTTTTTTTTATTATTATTATTATTTTTCGCCTAATTCATCATAAAAGCTATGAACAGTCATGATTCCCTCTTGAATGGATGTGTCTGCAAGCTAATTGTCTCTTTGAGTTTGATGATCTATGAGGTTTGATCGAGACCATCTGTTTAGTGACTGTTTTCCTGATTTTTCTTTTCCGTCTTTGAGAGAAAATGCTCAAAAAAAAGTTTTGTAGATGAAATCAGTTGAAATTACATGTGTACTCTTCAGTTTCCTTAAGACTTTTCCGTATGTGATGGTTTATATGCAGTTCTGCTCACTTTGCGGTGGTTACAGATAACAGATGAAAGGAAGAAAGGACAGGATGATATTACACACTGCCTTTAGGGAAGCTTTTGTGCTGTTTGCTGTATAAAATCTCAGCAGCACTCTCATAGTGGCTAGATTTTTCTGTGTACAATCAATATTTGACGGTTGTTATCTTTGACAATTATTATTTGAGATCTTTTAGTGTCGACTCAGTCTGAATCAGATAAATGAGCAACAAAATCAGTTTAGTGATCAAGAGGGATTTCATATTCATCACACTTGGATGAATCTTAAAAGGGTTGACAGATTATAAATGTAAATTATTTGATTGCATTTTTCAATTGTTATATGCAGTTTGGGCACCTATATAAACCAAAGAATGTCTAGAATTCTCAGTAGGACGTGTGTTGTTGTGTGTTCCAGGATTACAGCAGCAAGAAGCAAATAATCTTGTGTTTTTCTTTTTTAAAGCAGTTTTTTAGCTGTACATACCGCAGTATCTTTGCAACACACTGATAACAAAGTTAACGCCAAACAGCTGAACAAATCTGTGCCAAACTGTTCTTTTTGTTGATTTCTCTTCTTTTTTTAATTTGTGGATTTTAAATAAACACAACAACCCTAAAGAATAATAGCCTGCTAGATGAGACTCCCTGTGGCATTCATTACAGTGATTTTCAGCTTTCTCTGCTTCTCATCTCATTCCCGGCTGAAAGTATCAAGCCAAAGCTTTTTAGTTTTGGAGTAACTGCCTGCACACACAAATACTCACCTGTCTTCACAATGCAGGAATTCACAAACAACATCTCCTACCTAAAATGTTTTTAAAGAAAGTATCCACGAGTTTAGATTGACCATTTTTGCTCATCGGGGATTGTTGCATCTTGCTTGCACGTCCTTCCTCATTCTGTTGTCCTCTCCTAAATGTCCTCTACTTGTTTTTTTTTTGTTTTTTTGGGCCCAATAAACATGTCTTGCTAATAAGTTTTGACACCAGAAGGTCCCACATGAGAAGTGTTCCTCTCCAGCATTGTACTCAGCTCTCTTCCCACCATCTGTTTCTTCCCCACCATTTTTTTTTCTTTTCTCCACTTAGACGACTCCAAATTTCCCGAGGCGGTGCGTGTCCTGCTGACCTGGGTGGAACGAGGGGAGGTAAACCGCAGGAACGCCAACAACTTCTATTCAATGATCCAGTCCTCCAACAGCCACATTCGCAGACTGATGAACGAAAAGGCCGCCCATGAGAAGGAGATGGAGGAAGCCAAGGACAAGTTCAAGAACGCCCTTTCTGGAATTTTAGTACAATGTAAGTGTTTCTTAACAGATGTTGCTTCTGCCTTAAAGAAATAGAAAGCTGTTGACCTACATGTAGATGGCATTGATGGGCAACATGAGACTCATTTAGAAGTTCTTCTACACACAAATGCACAAACTTACCAAATTTAGTTTGAGGATTAAAACTGGTTAAGAAGTTTAGGTTCCATCTTTATCAGGGGCGGACTAGGGATGCACTGAATTTTTGACTGCTGAAAGTTATTGGCTGAAAATAGCATTTTGTATTGACCAAAAGAGAAAATCTGAGCTGAAAAAGGTTATGTTGCACCGCACTGCCCAACAGTTTTCAGCATTTCTCTCTCAAACCAGCCGTAGTCTCTGCATTGAGTGAAGTGGCTTTCGCAGTGTACATGAAAAGCACTTCACTATGAAACCCATTCGTTTCAATGCTCCATATGAAGACTATTTGTTGCTGGCTTGACTATAGCACAAGCCATCTCCAAGTTCAAAATAGTTCATATTATACTTATCTATTAGGGGTGTCAAAAGTAATTGTTTCTTTGATGCACCGTACTGATGTCATTTATCTCATACAGTATGCACTATATTGCGGTAGAATACTAATCGAACGAAGTGAGGGTGAGTAATTAGAATGTGCCTCTAACTACTTTAAAAGCAGACAACTGTGCACAGTTCACTGCATGCGCATTTGCTGGCCAGTCTTTCATTGACACTGAAGTACAGCAGAACCAGGAGATACTATTTTACTGCAAGGGAGAAAATGAAAGCTCTCTCTCTTTCTCACTAAGGACCTTTGAGGGCAAGTTTGTAAGGTAACTTTTCCTCTCTTCTATCACTATTAAGGCGATACTTGTGGATCCTGACACAAGGTTGTCTGTAGAGCAAGTTTTCTCCATGGCGTCTATCATGGACCAATGTGTGCTTTATTATTCGCATATAGACAGTTACCCCACATTCTTCAGTGTCCGCATCAATCATCAATTTTCTGTTGAGCGTGTGAACACAATGACTAATCATATGGATGTAAGAACACGCCGGACAATGCTCAAAAGCAAACTGAATAATGTTTACATGAGTTTATTTGCTATAAATGCTCATGTTATCTTCTGTGATTGTATTTGAGTTTTGTTTGAAACATTTAAAAAAGAGTTTTCTTTGAGCAGGTAAAATTAAAGTTACAGTTCATATATCTGACTGCTTGTATTAAAGGACAAGATTGTATTACAAATAATATACTCTATAAATGTATTTAAAATTGTTAATACAAGAATTGTTGTGAAAAAAACATATAATTGTGTATGAAAAGCATCATCAATGCACCATAATGCACCAAGATATCGAATTGAACCAAATCGATGACATAATAATCATAACTGAACCAAACCGTGAGACCATTTTAAGTTCACACCTCTATTATCTATACATGAACTCACTGGAAAAGCAAAGTCTGCTCAAGTAACGCACTGACATTTCTATGTAGTATACTTGTCCTTGCTGCTTTCAATAACAGTACTGTGCTATCATAGCAACGCTGGAAAAATGACACCTCTCCAATCATTTACTGTCAGTAATACGCACTTATAAAGGCGGCAAGGTGGCTCAGTGGTTAGCATTGTCACCTCACAGCAAGAGGGTTGCTGATTCAAGTCCCAGCTCGCCCAGTATACATTTCTGTGTGGGGTTTGCATGTTCTCCCCATGTTCACATGGTATTCCTGTGGGTGCTTTGGTTTCTCCCACAATCTAAAGTAAGGATGCCCAAACTTTTTGTTTTTTATGAAGGGCCAAAAACCAAATTTGGGCCGAAGATAAATATATCAAGCTGTATTACAAGTTGCCATACATAGTTTCCTCATTCATTTCAAAGTGAATAGAAAACATTACTTAATTAACATTAACATATGCATTATATATATTTTACATTTTATAATGAACCTAATATAATGAAAACATAAGAATTCCATTTATAACACAATGGCGTTTAATGCTGAATACACTAGTCAAGCTGTCCCTGCCTTTGCTTTGATTTGCTCATTAAGGTCTTCTGAATTGTGGTTTATCCACTGAGCAACAGTATGTTCATTATTAAAAATAAAAATCAGATTCATTTACAACATTTAATTGAAGAATTTAGATCATGTTTGTCTTTTGTAGCTCAAAAATAAAACTAACAAATGAATGGTTACAATAAAATGAGAAATAACTGTATTAAACACTCCTACCCTAAATGCTCCCTCTTTTTTGAGATGGTATGGGCCCTGGGCCAAATCAAAGGTTACCATGGGCCAACTTTGGCCCGCGGGCCCTAGTTTGAGCATCTCTTGTCTAAAGACATGCCGTATAGGTGAATTGAATAAACTAAATTGGTCGTAGTGTGTGTGTATGGGTGTTTCCCAATACTGGGTTGTGGTTGGAAGGGAATCCACTGTAAAACATATGGAATGTTTCGTTGTGCGGTTCATTCTGCTGTGAAAAATTAATGAAAATTTTATTATTTTATTGGTTTATTTTTGAATCAGTATAATCTTAGTTATGAGCACATTAAAAAAATCTTTAAAATGTGTTTAATAAAATAATACATAATTATTACAAAGTGTTTAAAGTTTCAGCTTTCAGCCAAGTGTAACCAGATTTTTCGGTTTCTACCCAGAACTGTCGTATCTGTGCATCCCTAGTTAAAACCTGTATATTTAGCTATAAATCATATGTGTCACTCTTTAATAATACCTGGTGAGCACTATACAATAACACTGTGCAATTCTTAACGGATCATTAAATCTGCGGTGCTGCTCACATCAGAGCTAAATTCTGCTTGTCTGGAGAACCTAGAAATGCAGTTGCTTGTTGTGTGACGTCACTGCAGTTTCATCTATACTATCAGACACAAAAGGAAGCATTGAGTAAGTGGGTGCTGTCAGCTACTGCATGATTACACTTCACTTTCTGCCATCTTGATAGCAGTCCCCAACACAGCAGCGCTTTGTACTTGATTGATCCAATGGCCAGAGAAATGGAACTACCACTCACACATATAGTTTCCTTGATGCATGAAAAGACACACATTTTCACTGTGTGTTTGATTCAAGCATACAGCATGTGGACATTCAAAGTCAAGTGATTTCATATTTCAGTATTCTGTAGAGATTTACCGTTTCATTAATATGTAACTGGAGTACAAAATATGAAAAGATTACGGACTCATTGAAAGGTCACATCACTTGCCTTGAAAATTAGAAATGTTCACAAGAAAAAGTTAGCATATGTGAATATCATGCATATGCATCTGTTCATGAAAGTTTAATTAAATTAGGCAGCGTGCTGTACTTTACTGAAGTACAAGCAGGAGCTTTTCGGATATGTTCATTCCGTAATGCACACTTTTTTTAATGATGTAGCGAAGGATGATTTAGTGTCTCTAAGAAAATCTGCTCAATTTTTAACCTCAAAAAAGTGCAAGTGCATTTTATACTCTGCCATCGGCTACTTTTACACTGCAGCTTTTCTACGACTGGGTTATATAGTGTACAAGCTT